AAACTATGTTACAGACTTTTCATTAAGACCCTAAAGAATCATATCAACTTGTGGAAAGTGGGCATCCGGGGACCCCTTTAAGCTTTTCAGGGGAATCAACCTATGAATGCTTTGTTTCAAAATATAAATATAGAAAGGGATTGGCAGGGATAGGCAGAGATTTCAGAATTATTGTAATATAAAAAAAATACACAAATCAAGTAATTTTTAAGAAATATAGCAATATGTGTGATCCCTGACAGAATCAAACAGTGCACCACTGTGACTATGGAGCAGCTTTTCACCGTGCATCACGAGATGGGCCATGTGGAATATTACCTCCAGTACAAAGAGCAGCCGGTCAGCTTCAGGAGAGGAGCCAATCCTGGCTTCCATGAGGCCGTAGGGGATGTGCTGTCTCTGTCTGTCTCCACACCCAAACATCTCCACACTATCGGCCTCCTGGAACAACTGACCGATGATGCTGGTAGGAGAAAGACATTCAGAATGATACTCATCGTGTAAACCTAAAATAATGACATTATGATGACGTATTTGTAAATCCATAGAGAGTGACATCAACTACCTGTTGAAGATGGCTTTGGAAAAGATCGCCTTCCTTCCTTTTGGATATCTTATTGATCAGTGGCGCTGGGGTGTGTTTAGTGGACGAACACCGCCAGAACGTTACAATGCAGAATGGTGGTACCTCAGGTAAAATAAAAATAAATACAGGGTCTCATAATGGAACATTGGAGTCAGCAATGGATCATGTCTGTCCTGTACTTAAAAATATACTTGTAAGATTTTAAGTACACTACAAGCACACATTTAATATAATAAAGTGCACTTCTTTTTCACAACTGGCGGTTTAATATTGAATAGGTCATGATAATATTGTCTAGATTACCTACTTTCTTAAGACATGAAAACTGTAATATCAATGACTTTTGATTGTAATGTCTAATTAATTCAATATTAAACATAAATAAATAAAAATTGTTTATATAATTCAATTGTTAAAGAAAAAAAAAACATATTTTTGCTTGCTTACTCTACATTCACTACCATTCAAAAGTTTGGAGTGTGTAGGATTTTTATTTTCCCTCTATTTTTAAAGACATTTAAAATGTTACAAAAGATTACTGTTTCAAACAAATGCTGTACTTTTAAAATTTCTATTATTTATTGAATCCTGACGCAAAAAAATTTTTAAAAAAAAATATATATACAGTATATACTGTTTTCAACACTGATAATAACAAATATTTTTTGAGATGTAAATCAGCATATTAGAATTATTAGAATTATTTCTGAAGGATCATGTGACACTGACGACTGGAGTAATGATGCTGAAAATTCAGCTTTGATCACAGGAATAAATAGCTTTTTCAAATATATCCAAATAGAAAACGGTTATTTTAAATTAATATTTCATAATATTCCTGTTTTCACTGTATTTATGATTAAACAAATGCAGCCTTGCTGAGCATGAGAGGCTTCTTTTAAAACATTAAAAAAATCTTACCAACCCCAAATCTTTGAATAGTAGTATAAATATCAGTTAAATCTTTTTTCAAAATTTTTTTTCAAGCTATCAGCCAACTAAGTTAAGGTAATTGTTTGCAAATGGAAATCAACAGTACTTTCTTGAATTGAATATGAAAATTTTTTCTGTTATTAGGACAAAATACCAAGGCATCTGTCCACCAACCAGACGCACAGAAGAGCATTTTGATGCTGGAGCAAAATATCACATTCCTGGAAACACACCGTACATCAGGTGGGCCCATGCTAAATAAGCAATCAATAATCAAAACTTATGATGCACACAGAGAAGACAACTATTTTCTCTCTTATGTTTAACCCCTTATAGATACTTTGTGAGCTTCATTCTGCAGTTCCAGTTCCATGAGAAATTATGTCAGGAGGCTGGACATACTGGACCTCTGCACAAATGCGATATCTACAGATCCAAAGAGGCTGGAGCTGTTTTAGAGTATGTACTGAATATACAGAGCCACTGCTGGTGGTTATGAAACCACTGTATCATCACGATGAATGGAAAGTCTGTACACTGGGACTAAGTGTTATTTTATTCTGTTTGGAAGGAAAGTCTTGAAGGCTGGCTCTTCAAAGCCTTGGACAGAGGTGCTACAAGAGGCTCTTGGCACTAACAGAATGGACGCCAGCCCCCTGATGAGCTATTTTGAGCCAGTTACTACCTGGCTGCAGGAACAGAACACGGAAACGGGAGAGACGCTGGGCTGGCCTGATTTTTATATATATATGTATATATATATGTATATATATATATATATATATATATAAATAGCATAACGCATTACAAATAACACATTTAATCATGCCCCTGACCTGCACATAAATGTACCCAGTGCAAGTGTTATCTTAGATGCAGAGTTTCCGTATCCATGGTTTTTTAGGCTTTTGAAAATGTGTGCTTAATTGTATTGAATGTGCACTTGTAGTGTACTTGAAACCTTGAAAGTAAAATGAAAAAAAAAAAATAATAATAATTGCACATAATATGGAATTAATGAAATAACAGGCCACTTAAGTGTGCCTAAAGAGTACACTTTAGGTTTTTAAAAAGCTGACTTTGTAAACTTAATAGTTTTACTTTGAAGTGCATTTAAATCATTATGTTTTAATATTTTTAACATTTTGATGTGTTGGCTAACATACTAAAGCACATATAAAGTACATGATTATAATTTTCACTAATGTGTTCAATATTACATTTAAAGTAAATATATTTTAAATGTACTAAATTGAAACTTAAATGTATCATTTCAAATATATTTAAATAAATGAGTTTAAAAAGAAACATTAA